AGCGTATAGATGTATTAAAAAAGATGTACGCGGCACGACAATGAAGGCGAACCTACCCGCAAGATCTGGTGCGCTCCTCCGAAGGTTTTCGGCGCGCGCTCCAAAGCCTGCGAGGTGGCTCCAGCCTGCCTGCCTCATGTACACCATAGACTAAACATATATATATACGATACGATAAGAAGAGAGAGAGAGACCCAGCGCTCCGGAGCCCGAGGGGCCCCAGCCCGCCATCCGGAAGAACCTATCCAAAGCGGCCATTCCGCCTGCACACGACGACCCTTGGGAGAAATGTGCCCGATAGCGAAAGAAAAGTCCGCGTGGTGAGCGAGTGGGCAAGACAACGGTTAGTATGGGGTTCTATTTGCAAACTTCTTCGCTATGAGGGGGGGGGTCTTTCTAGCGAGCAGGGCTAGACTCACCCTCAAGGGACCGATACCTTCTTGCTGCGGCGCACCCGCCGCGAGGCGTGTGTAGTGGTGGAGTTGGGTCGGCACTGGGGCGTCAGGTACAAAGGTGCCGATGCGCGGGCCTCCAGGCCGTCGGTGTAGGCAGCAATGCCCATCTCATCTTTGTGCGCGGAGGCAAACGTCATAATAAAGGTGGACGGGCACTATGTACACGGCCCTAGGTTTGCTAGAGGGAGCTGTACTGTCGCAATAACCTGGTTTTTCCATCAGAGGAGGAGGAGACAGGTGGTGACGAGCTGACTGGGCTCGTTGACCCTTCGGCGCGAGAATTTTCACACCAAGAACCCTAAGTGCAACGAGGGAGAAGCGAGGAACCGACTGGGAAGGACAGCAACGAGAGCGTGTACGACGCGGAGCGGGTCGAGTTTGGTCGTGCTAGGACTGGCCACAGCGGCACCGGAGCAGCGGCACCGGAGCAGCGGCACCGGAGCAGCGGAACCGGAGCAGGCGGACGGCATCGAACCGTGGCGCACGGACAAACATATCTTGTGTTATCAATTATTTTTCCGTTTTTTTCCTGAACACAGGTGTTGGGTGTGTGTGGTGACGTCACTGGTTTTGTAGAGAGACGCGGCAGAGATGGCGCGGGTAACCCGGGTACCTTAATTGTGTACCTGCATCGTGGAAGACCCCTTCAATGTGGAACGATTCCTAGTCAGTGTCGATGTCTACACTGCTGTGCCTAACACAGATGATCTGGATAGATTCGGGTGATTGTCAATTTATTGCAATGATGACTTTGGTTGGGCGTTCTTCTTCATTGTATGTCCACGGACTCATTCTGACAGCACTTCAGACAGCAGCTCCATGCCCCGAGCTTGTGTACCATGCACCATGGTGTTATTATTGTACAGACAGCACTTCAGACAGCAGTACGCTGTAGTCGACAGACATTCATTTTGGTTAAATGCGGGACAAGGGGGGTGATGCGGCTGCTGTAGTCGAATTGTAGCGTGTGGGCGTGTAGTTCAGTTGTGAGCACGCAAACGTGCTACAGGGATTTTAGGTGTACCTCCTCGGGCTTGTGTACCCTTGACTTGCTAATAGTGTGCGTGTTCTTTAGATCTTCTGATGGCTCTAGCATTTTTGTGACCACGGACCGAGTCTTTGCTAGATTTTGGGATTAGCAACTGACACGAGTTTAATGTGAAGAAAAACAACAACAACAACAATACTGCTGTCACCCCCAGCCTCAGCCAACAACTAGAATACCGTATATGACACAAGATAACGCACCCCCTGGACCGATTTTCAAAGCTCGATTACTCCACGACGAAGAGGATACATGAAGGAAACGATACATTTTCGAAAAGCTCTCGACGAGACGGTTTCAACGCCGCCGTTTTCGGCGCTGTGACTGTTCCTGCAGTTGAGAAATCGACCTTCGAAATTTGGTCAAGGGGGTGTGTTATCTTGTGTCATATACGGTAAATGCTCTTACGTGCGGGCTCAAACTGCTGTATTTGTGAACAACAAGCAGGTGTTCAAGACGGCGACTTCCCACGACGACGACGACGACGACGACGACGACGACGACAAGCCGCACGATCGTGATGATGGCGGGTCCCAACCAGGGCCAGAAGCCCGGCTTCTTCGCCGAGTGGCCCGTACTAGAGGCCGAGATCAGGGCCTACCTCGACGAGCGACAGGCGGGAGACCCCGAGAAGGGCGGCGGGGGCGTCGAGTCCAAGGGGGCGGGGGGCACCTTGCTCAACTTTCTCTCCGTGAACCCAACTCAGATGGCCCTGGAGAACGAGCCCGACAGGGACGAGTGGGACGGGGAGGTGAACGTGCTTTCCTACAGCGAGCTGACGAGGTGAGCGATCGAGGAGCATTAGTAGGGTGATCGCAAAGCCCCATTTAACCATCCCCTCGATTGGTTTTGTTCTTGCTATTACGCAACGAATCCACCGCTATATCCAAAGGCAGACGAGCGTCCAGGATAACTTAGCAATGAAGTCAGCGGAAGCACTTTTTCGAGGTGTGCTGTGGCCGCCTCATGGAGGGACAAGAAGGTAGACGGGCACCCTTGTCGGCGCACGCGCCTTTCTCTGATGCGAGTTATCGCTCTTTCTCTTTCTTTCTCTCTCTCTCTCTCTCTCTCTCTCTATAAGAGAGAGAGAGAGAGAGAGAGAGAGAGAGAGAGAGAGAGAGAGAGAGAGTTGTGCGATTGCGAGACGACTTCCGACATCGTTACTTCACATGCCCTGATCTAGCTTACTACTTCGTCTAGAGGCAGCAGTGTGTGCGGGGATCACTTCACAACGCCAACCCTGCAGAGAACCTCCTGTTCGTTCACGCTTCAAGGTCTGCAAGTACCATACAGTACCACACGATTTCAATCCTGCCCCCGCTCCAAACATGAACTTGACGATACCGGCAACAGGTACGGGTATGGATACCTCATCGAGCCGATGATGAAAATCGGAGGGTACGTGGCGGCCTCTGAGAGAATGGGCATCGACTTGAACGCTCGCACGCTCAAGGACAACGAGTACTACGAGAGAACAAATCCGACGGTGGGCTTGGACATACAGAAGAAGGCCGACAAGGATGGCTTCCTAACGCTCGGAAGGTATTTATCTTTTTGCTGCTTTGTGGAAATGGATATGGAGTACGGTATTGAACGCCTGGTTCGAGTTCGCAGCAAAAGAGTAGATCCCGTCATGAATTTTCGAAGAATTTGTAAGGGGTTGTTGCAGACATTCCTGACGTTGTTTTCGTGGCGAAGGGTGCGTTCGTTTTTTCGGTGTACCCTCTCTCGGAGCGTACTCAATTTATGTTTTCTGACCAAGCACGAGTAGATGTCGTGATCACCAGCCCCCTCCCATATCCCCCCTTCGTCTATTTTTTTTGTCAGTGCGAAAGAGGAAAGGTTGAATAGCGTGGCGAACGTCAGCCGTGAGGACCGAAGAAAGTCTCTCTTCGAGAAGCAAGCCATGATGGACAAGAAGACAAAGGCGAAAAAAGCGGCCACGAAGAAGTCCAGGGTCCTGAACACCAGCAGGAAGGTGCGTGCGTAAATCGAGGCACCTCGATCGCGGTGGTGCCCTGGGGTGGCCAATGGCTCACCACGCTCATCATACGTAGATCATCATCCTCGTTCCATTTTTCGACCTATAATATCCCGTCGCAGTTTTGAAGACTGAGAGCTGAAGAATCATACGCGAACGTGAACGTATCGCTTGGACGCCACTGCTGAGTTTTTTTTTTTCGCGCCAATGTGGTGTTTCCTGCGCGTATGAAGAAGGTGCCTGTCAACCTGGGGGGCAGAAGCCAGAAAGAAGTGGATGAAGAAATTTTCCGTAAGCCGGGGCTTACCGCGGAACAGAGAGATATTTCGGAGTGGGTGCCTGAGGTGCGCGCTGAGGACGCTCTTCCAGCCCAGCCGCTGCTGCTGAATTTCGCTCAAAGGGCGAACGCGGTGGCGGTTTGCGGGTGTCTTTCTCTTGCGTTCGGGAAGGGCACCTTGGACGCGCTGGAGACAGGGCTTCTACCACGAGATGTTGCAGAGGTGTGTAATGTAGTCAGTACTATTACTTCCAAGGCACAAGCACACTTTGAAGTTTAATTATGTCGATAATGTCGGTTCCGGGAGTAAGTTGCGGTGCGCTAAGCCGAAAAGGATACGTGAGTATCGCGGCAAACATTTTGGTGTTCGCTTCGCCGTCCCCCCTATGTAAGAGCACGAAACAGCAGCAGTCAAACGAGTTGTTGACGAAACGCCTAGCGATGCTTTCATTCTAGACGTTCTTCCTTCCCGAGGGCGTCGCGTCCAGGATTTAGAAATGTCAACGTTCTTGCCCCCGACATGTCCGTCTTTCGTATGTTCCAACAGGCGGCGGTGCCGGCGAGTCTGTTCCTGCTGGGGCTGAACGTGGCTAGCGCTGTAGCGGGGGCATCGATCGCGAAGAACAAGGGGCGCTCGGTGCCGCTGTGGGTATTCAAGGGGGCGTTGGCGGGACTGACGAGCGTGTTGGAGCTGAAGGGGCTTCCGGAACTTGTTCCTCTTGGTAGTAGTAGTAGTGCTAGTGCTGATCCGCAGCCATCCGGCGGGGCGAGCGACAGAAGCAGCAGTACATGATCACGTTGGAGGAATGAGTCGTGGGTGGGTATAAGTATCTGATACTTCGATTGATACTGCTGTTGTGGCATAGTCGACTGCCAATTAGTCTATGGTGTAGATGATCTTTTTCTCGGACCGGGTCGTTCATCCCGTTGGATCGATTGCTGCTGCTGGTTGAGATCACCCGCGGGCGGAGCGAAACACTTCCCCCGACTCTCTTGCCCATGGTTGCCAGAAGCAGCGTCCCCAACCACGTCACGTCCTCCTTTACCTCCAGGATCTCTTCCATCACAACCGCTGACACCTTCGTTCGCTCTCGCTTCGTCGCCGCTCTTAGCTCGGCTGGCGTTGAAGTGGTGACACCATGCACATGCCATGGTTGCCACAAGCAGCTTCCCCAATCCTACCACGTTGTCACCATGTTATTGTCTTCGATCACAGCGTCTGAGCCCTAGCCGCTATCATCGCCGCCGTCTTTTGTCGGCTCGGCACACGGCAACTCCAGCTGATAATAGCCGGCTGCTAATCGGGCGCGAACGATAGGGTGAGCTCCCGAGAAGGAAGGCGTCACGCAGGGGCGCGGCAGGGTTGGTGGGGTAGCCGCTTTGGCGGCAATGGACAAGAGTATCGGCGCCATTTATTGATTTCAATCAAATACCGCTTGGGGAAGTGACATTCTGCACGCTCGACGCATGGGAGTCCACAGAGCAGCGTAAATTTTACGCACGCCTTTGAGTTCTCGTTCAAATCCTCAACACCCCAACCCCGACCAAGACTCAACACCACTGCCACACATCGCATCAAGCTTTACCTACGTGATGATGATGAGGTCCCCATCATATCTCCTAAAACTGATGAACACGAACGAAGGCAAGTTAACAATCAGAAACACTCACCCTTGTTCGCGCTTGAAAGGTCTATTGTAAGACTAGGTTGTATTGTCTGGGCCGTTGATGATTCGTTCGTTCCCTTGACAAATGAAATAACCACTTTTTTTGGCCACCAGAGCCCTTTCTTGCATGAACCACTGGCGACCGCCCATGTTGACCCGAACTCCCCATTTTAGAAAGAGGTGAGAGATTGGTTTGCATTCATCCGGAAGGTCGTCTCAAGCCGATGTCCTCCTTATTTATTAATTACAGCAACTAGGAGGACTTGGATTCGTGATCACCGCGATGATTTTGCGTCACCCCCTTCCTCCGTTCCTCACTAAACCGCTCCATCGTGTGATACCATCCCTCACCCTGCGACACCGTCGTTCATCCGCCACAGCACGTGACGCTGAAGAAGAACTGCGCGATGAAGCTCGGACTAGTTGCATGCATCGTACTGTCTGCTGCTGCAGGTTGCAATGCCTTCACCGGCGGCCCCGTCACCGGTGCAGCTTCGCTTCGGCAGAAGAAGGTTGATGCTGTCTCGAAGGTGGCGGCAGCCTCGCCGCGAGCAGGGCTGGATGGGACGCGAAGGGATGTCATCCAAACCGCGAGTGCGGCAGTCGCTGGCTTGCTTTCCTCTGCGGTGCTGCCTGCAGGAGCCCTCGCTGCTGCGAAAGCAGAACCCAACCGGAGAGGTGTGTTCGGCTCGCTTCAAGGAACTGCTCAAGTTGTTGCTGTGTTCATGTTTCTCCACGCATGTTATGCAGCGGGTACACACCATCGATCGGCAGTTCCGTTGCGGCGGCGGCCGCCGTGAGATTGAAAGCCGAACTTGATAAAGTATGGAGAGGACTTCTTGTCCTTAATGTACTGCTGTGGTGTAGTGAGGAATTCGCGGTCTATAATGTAGTCGCGAGTCACACGACAAAAAACGGTCCCTGCGAAAGGTGTCTTGTAAACACGACTTGCGTGGGAGAGGCACCCCCGAGGTACGTACCCCCCTCCGCTTGTGCTGACGATCTCAGGTAGGTGTGCTACAATACAGCAATCGTGCATTGCAACAACGATACCATGGCGTGGGGCACGTGAATTGTTTGATCGTGTACGGTGGGAGCAGAGGGATGATTGGGAACTTGCATGGGTGAACCTTCGCGGTTTTACTACCGACACCCGACGCTCTGACTATGTGCGCTAGATACAACTTACATCCATCTACTACATGTTACTCAGGTTGATGACTAGCAGTTGGGGGCCCGATATAAGGCGGTGTGAATAAGGCGATATACCCGACGTAAGACTGTCGAAAATTGCGGCCACGACTCAGACCCGGTATAAGGCAGGCACCGCCTTATATCGGGTCTGGCCCTGTATTTAGGCGGTATCTACCTATCTCCAACCCGACGTAAGGCGGTGATCAGCTTCGCATCCATAATCTAAACCCGTGTGACACTCGGACACGAGAATATTCTTGTAGACGGACGCAGAAATTTCAAGGCTCCTCTCGGTACCGATTTCTCTTGTGCAACGATTGGTACGGGAACCAGCGACCACCGCAGTTCATGTATTTTCTGGATGGTAACTGGCCATCACGGTAGCTTACTTTCTACGGCAACCAACAACCGCGGTACTGCATGGTGATACTGGGGTGGTAACTGGCCACTACGGCATGTCCTTACGGGGACCAGCCAACACGGTAATGCACCGTAATATTGGGGTGGTACAGCAGTAACTGGCCACCAAGTAATGCACGGTGACGAACGTTGGATGGTAACTCCCCACGACGATGCACCGTATTTGTGTTGGATGGGAATTTGAAAAGGCCATTTACTTGATAATGAATTGGGCGGAAACGGTAACTGCGAATTAACACGGGAAAACGTTACCAAGTACTATTGGCTGTATTCCCGTGGAGTTCCCACGGGAAAAGTACCGCGGGAAATTTCCCTCAAAGATCCTTGTTAATTGAGTATCATTTAAGCTATTGTCATACATACAGCAAAGTTTGTTGCAAAGAGGGGATGTATTTTCAGATATACGAGCGCCCGGGGGAAGTATAATCGGTTTTATTTACCCGTACCGGAGGGCCAAGCGCCATGGATGCAGAATACTACAAAAGATTTTCAATTATTGAATGGTCGGTCCATTGTGGCTATTAAGTTGTGCTCTTCACTAAGGTAGCAGGGTCGTTGTTCCTCGTATCGGCCGCCAAGAACATGTACAAGGGCTTGTACAGGCATCGGGTGTACATGCCGCTGCTAAAAATATTTCGTTCCAAACTATTGCAAGTCATCAGGCTCAACATACATGTATATATTTGTGAATACATGGTGCATGTGGCCATCCTTTTCCACTCAACAACGCGCCGTGAGGTGATAACCGCTGCTGTAAACCTCTTATTTTGCCCCGAATAAGGCAGTTTACAGCCTCCTTCACGAATAAGGCGGCTGCCCGATACATGGCGGTTATTTTCATCACACACAACACCGCCTTTTATCGGGCCCCTTACTGTACTGCGTGTAATTTTTTTAATTAATTCACTCTAACCCAACGAATCCATCTCTATCGAAGAAAAAGTCTAATTTAGATTAGCAATAAATCCATAGCGTCAGCGTTTTTTTGTTCGACATGATCATGTTCGACTGCTGTGGTTATATCTCGAATGGTTGTCTTTCTGTGTTTGTACTTTTAGTTTTTCCTAATAGTTGCGTTCCCCCGTGCTCCGACAAAATCAACAACAGTGTTCACGACAGACGGTGGAGTCAAGTTCATTGTGCTGAAAGAGGGAACCGGGCCCGTCGCTAGGGACGGTGACTTCTGCGTCGTGGAGTTCACAGGGTGAGCCCGTTTTATGCCTACAACATCATTTTCGGAAGTGATGAGTCGTTGCCCATATGAGACGACGTGCTTACACTTGCATGGCGGCGACGACCGGTGTAGAAACGGCGGTTGGCTTTCTCATTGTGCCCGATGTCGAGATAGGACAGAGTAACTACTCTCAGGGGTAAACGTGTGCTTTGCGACAGCATGAAATGCGTGTACAACCCCACGTCATGCCTGTCCCCTGCTGTACATACATGAGCTCTGTGAGATTGTTCGTCCACAGTCGGTGGCGGGTTGATGCTTATGTGAGGTAAAAGGGAGGCGGGCGGAATCTCTCACGCATGATTGCTCGCGGGTGAATTTTTGCGAGCGCTTTAGAGATATGTGTATCCCTGCGAGCTCAGGTTCCTAACTACAGCTTTCGCATCGAAAACCTCACAGTAGGTACATCGGTCTTATTGCGGGATGTCAATTGGTACGCGATACTGCGGGCATATTCTGCCGTGAGCGGCAGCGGCAATACAGTACCCCGAGGTGATTTGAATGTGCCATGTAACGATGAAGCTGATTCCCTTTCTTCCGACATTCTTCCGCTACTCGAATATGTATATTTTTTTTTGAGCAGGTTCCTACCGGATGGGGCGGTTTTCGACGCAAGCAATGCACCGGGCAGGAAGCCCATCGCCTTCCAGCTCGGCAAGCGGCAGGTTATCAAGGGGTGGGAAGAGGTGCTGCGGCTGATGAATGTGAGACCCAAGACACGGGACTACTGCCTGTCTCCTCTGCCTTTACAGTCCCGTCGTGGTGTGATCTGACAAAAAAACTGCTGCCGGTGGACCGTTTTGTTGCCGGCGTGTCTAATGGCGAACCTTTGGTCATTCCCAAACCCTAGCATTTGCCCACCGCAGTAGCGATTGCTCCGCCGCGCGAATGCTAAGAGCACGAAACGTCGAACGTATACCCAGTGCCTCCCAAAATATCCACCTCGTTATGATTGCACTCGGCTTTTCCGACCGCAGCAAAGCACTCGCAACTCGATTGACGCGGCGCTAGCCTCCAGGAAGAAGGCCGCGCTTGGTTAGCCTCTTGATCGGGCGTGTGGCGTACGATCACTGCTCCGTTGGGCGTGAACACCTTCTTTGTTCGTCGCTCCCCACACGTCGACTGCACCGAGAGCATCTCTGAAAGCGAAACTACTTTCTGCCGTTTCTATCGAAGTAATCCTTTCTGGTGGTGTGTTTCGGCTCGGTGGGTCTACTACTCGCATGCATCCGCCGTCCCGAACCTTTGCATAAGTGCAACACGTTGTCAATATTCAATATTCATCCCTGTACCTTAGCTGTTGCGGCGAGTTCGAGAACCAACCATATCATGGGAGAAGCACCGACACTCGCGTATGGTTGCTGCCCTCCACTGCAACGTCAGGCCGGGGCGGAGGTTCAGATGGTGGTGCCGGCTGACATGGCGTTTGGTGACAAGGGGATATGTATCGACAACGGCGATTGCCTCGTCAAGCCAGGAATGGACGTACGTTACGACCTCCAGCTGAAGCGCGTGGCCCCCACCCCTTAGAGTGAACAAGACTAGATGCCTTAAAGTAGACCCGCGGGCTTGAATTTGCTGGTCGCTCGAACGTACTGGATGGCTATTGGGCATGGCTTCCGTCATCCTGGGTGGAGTTCTCTCTGGTTGTTCTCTTGCTGCTAGTACATATAGACTCAAGTGTGGGGCACCGTTACCGGGAGGTCAGAAGGAGCTGATGCGGTGGACCTATTCGTTTTCCAGCTCGGTGCAGTTGAGTGAGGCAGTGCACCTTACCAGGCAGGACGATTTGCCTTTGTAGCTTTCACCCGCCCCATCGTGGTTCGCAACTCGGCGCAAGAAAGTCGCAACTCGGCCGGGCCCCTGGGCATCGGAGCTACAACACAAAGCTTGTTCGGCAAGCTACCGATTTTAGTAGACAGGTATAGGATTGGCGTTGGGGAATAAAGGTAGAACCCTTCACAGGCTCGAACACTCCATGCGTGGACACGCTACCTGTATTGTGCACATTTCTTGTCCAGGTGTACGTTGCCCGTCGCTGCGGAGTTTTTGGCTCCCGTCGGCACCGATTCGATTCTGTTCGACATTCCAATGAGGGTCCTTTCGTCCCGATAGGGTGTGTTCTGAGCTTCGCGTAGCTCTGTGTAGAGGTTAGATTTTCTGTGGACGCGTGTTGCTTGCTCTCCATGGGATACGCGACCCGGCGAGACGATGCGGTCGGGGTGTTTCTTGTAGATGAAGATGGTGAATTGAGCTGTCAGTAAAAGAAATTATCTTGGTATGGGTAAGAAAGAGGAAGGACTGCTTAGCGTGTCGCGGTTGTTGCTCAGGCTCTACCGTCCATGCGGTACTTCACATTGGTGTAATCGGATCTACCAGATTTTCGGTTTTCTGCGACAGTAGCCTTACCAGGCACTGCAGTCATTGCCTGTGCTCCAAACACTCGATCAGTATCAATGAACGCCACGCCAGATTGTTCGCGAATGAGCATGGCGAACTGGAGAAACGAATGATGTGGACTTTCATGTGAGGTCGCCAAATGCTGATGGATTTGCGTACTCAGGCTTGATGCATGATTCATTTGTCAAGGCGTACATCCCTGAAACGTTCCCCCTTTCGATCGGGAGAACGCTCCGGACACCTTTCCCCCCTGTTCTCAGTGGACGCGTGTGCCCCACACATCACACAACGAATCGATTTCAGCCGCAGCATGTGCCTTGGTTGATTACAGGTGTTCCCCCCAATTGCAAGTTGGAGTTTATCCTGCGGGTAAAAGAACGACTACATCATTTTGTGTGACAGAAATCCTGGCATATGAATAGAAACTGAGATTGATTATCTCCCAGCTCACGAAATTTCAGGCCGATCCCGCTTGGCTGTAGTCGACGTACGTAGCACAGTGTTTTCTTCCACGCTTTCCCGCTCAATCAACCAACCCCATCAGGGGGACACAAGCGAAGCTGTAACCATCGCGCAGGACGACGGCAGGGACCCATGTGTGCACTTCTTCATCTGTCCTTCCCTGTACTTGGTTGTCTCCACGTTTGCGGCGAGGGCCGCGCGTGTGTGTGCCAAAGTTTCCCGGCCACCTTGTACTTCTCGTGCGCCACCGCGACTCTTAACTGGGCGCCGAAACTGGCAATATCACCCCGGCCAGTGGAACAAGGATAAAACTCAGCCAAGCGAGCCGCAAGATTCCAAGCCACCTACGAATCCTTCCCCACAACTGTCCCCCAGCCTGTTTTTTGGCGTTTTCCGACGGTATGATCAAGCAGCATGTAGTGGACTCGATTCGCCTAGTTCCTCGACGGCGATGAAGCTGATGTTGTCCATGATTCACACCACTCCCAGGTATGCCGATGGAAGTCAGGGTTGGTTTCCTCGACAATAGCTGGACGTTCTGTTGGCTAATGGGGTGCCTCAATGTCTCAAGAAGTTAACGTGCAACAGCAGCCTACTCTTCTTCCGGTGTCATCGTGTTCGCATCCCAGGAATGCCTGAGGATCCGCCGCCCCCCACGCCGCCTGAAGGCCTCCCATGTGCGCTGATACCCCCAGATGGCGGAAGGCCGACTTTGTTCGAGGCGGCGTGAAGTCGGTTTTGGTCGTTGATCGCCAACAGGATTTGGTTGATGTTGGTCTCGAGCACCATGCCGCCCATGATTATCTCGTCGAGAACGTAGTGAACCTTGAAAGGGGAGCGAGAGTAGGTGGGAAAGGTACTTAATAGCGTTCGCCTTGCGCTTCGCAACAGACACGCATGCATCTACATGTAGCGGTCCTACCAGTATAGTAGTCAGGATGCGTAGGAGAGTACAAGCTTGGCCGCAAAAGGAGAGGAAACACTCCTTGACCGGACGGAGAATGAGTGATCACGGACAGCATCAGACTGTGCGCCTAACCCGCAGCCTTTATCCACAAAAGCAACTGGAATCAGAAGGAAGGCATACCTTGTCGGAGTGGAAGATGAGGTCCAACTCGCACACGTTCTCGAAGCACTTGTCCAATGCCTCGACGAAGACTGCCGGCACAGCAGCAGTGTCAATTCATTCGGGCGTGCAGTATTTGGGACAAGCCAGGGCAGACGAATCGAGTGCAATGAGAAACGCCACACAGTTTGCAGGCGCTCGAACAAAGCCACACGTGAGAAACAGAGCTAAATATTTGCCGGCCGAACAAGGTCGGACAGGAGCCTGCATACCACAAGCTGCATGGCGATGGCCAAGGGGTGAGTGAAGTCGGGCGTTTCAATCGTCGACAAACATACCTTGAACGAGGTCGAGGATGCCGAGGTCGCTCTCCTGCGAATCTACGGCAAACACGAAGTAGAGCGTCGCGTAGTGCCGGTAGATGAGCTTCGTGCCCTCCCCCCACTCGGGAATGATCCCTTCCAAGTAGTTGCAGAACGAGTCTGGCCGCTGTGCCACCTGCTGAAAGATGCGCTGTATCACGCTTTTCTGGGCTTCTTCGCCGACCTGGTGTGTTTGATCAATTGGGTAGTGTTTGACGGGGATTTGTTTGTAGATAAAGGGGGACGTCATGCATAGTAGAATGCAGCAGAATGTGAGGCACCGTAGTGGATCACTGTTCGCCGAGAATTGAACATGATCGAGACATGAGAGGGGCAACACGCGAGTGTCACACACAGGCTGCGGCGCGATGCGTTGTCCTGCTGTCTTGCGTAGTGGTCTATGCGCCGGGCTGATTTTCTCAGACACCAATGATGACAAGTCATGAACGCCAATACGCAATGTGAATAGCCCCAATAACAATGACGTCATGACATCTACCTTACGGCAGCAGTGCCTGTGGCAGGCTTGTCGGCTGTACACATACACACAGAGTGTGAAGGAATAATGCGGCGGAATAGGTTGGCAACATGGGCAAGGAGCTGTGGGCAAGAGACGCACGCGTGCAGTGTGGTAGGTTGCAGTAGTGATATGTATAGTCGCCCTGCACAAGCTAGGTCTGCCCTTTTCCTCGCACAGGGGGCCGTAATCAGGATAGTGTAACAGAGGCAAAAATATGTGTACTCCTCACCCTGCTGACGAGCAACAAAGGGAGCGCACCCCTCTTCGAAGCTGTAGACTATCTGTAGATACTGCTGTGTGTGCTCACCACAGTTTGGTAGAACTTGACAAGACGAGGCTTCCCATGGTTGTTGACGATAATGACACCTCGAATCATAGCACAGCCAGCCAACAGCCTACGGTGGGCGTGAGTTGGTGGTGCGGTGATGTCCGTGCAGGCGCCTGAAAACAAAGAAGCAAAGTGCTCTGTGCAGGAGGAGCGAGCAGCGGCAGCGAGGGTCTGCGGAAGATTTCGGAGAAACGGTGTCTAGGTACGTCATTTTCGTAAAAACATTCTGTGTGGTACCCGGTCATGCACTGCTGGCACACGACAGACGACAGACGAGTCTGTCACGTGTGGTGGGAGAGTAGACAGTGCACGCCCTGAGAAGAGCAAGCCAGCGTTGCCCATTAATCATGTCCCAGGCTCCCGTCCGACGAAAATCTCGGAAGGCTGTGGCGGCAGCGATGGAAAAGAATGCGGCTTCGCAAAAGAAGCCAGCGCCGGCTCCGCATCTTGTCGTGCTCCGAGTCAAGCGCAAGCGCGGAGATGCCGCGGTGGAGAGCCTCCTGGTAGCCACCACCGACGAAGGGGAAAGAATCGAGGAGCAAGAAATGATGCCGAATCGCAAGCGGCGTGCAGCCGGAACTATCTCCATCGCGGAGACCATGGCCGTTCTTAGCCTCGACAAGACTGCCGAGTCTCAACGGCAACAACAGCATTCGCCGTTGCAACAACAGCAGCAACAGCAGCAGCCTGCTGTCAAGATGCAATCGCCAAGGAGGTTGGTGTACAAGCGTGTTCGAACGACCGAGCCAGACGGAAGCCGCGACCGAGGCGAGGAGGGGCGGTCCCCTGTCGCTGGCGCGCCTCCCGCGCGTCAGAAGCGTGCGTTGGACGGAGGCGAAGAAGGTGGAGGGGACGGAGGTGAAGGCGGAGGGCGGCTGGACGCTCTGCTGCGAAGTAAAGGCCTCAACACCAACTCTGCCTCTTGTTCGCCGCCACCGCCGACCGCCGCTGTGTTCGACTACCTGGAAGTGAGGCGAGTGAAGGCAAGGGCAGTGGGTATCGTTCCCAAGAACAGCCCCGCTCCCGTGGACTCGTCGGGGCGAGGCGGGCACAAACAGCACCCCTCTCCGCAGTCGAGTGGACTGGCACCGGAGGGAGCTGCTACGGCTGCTCCAGCCAACCTGCACGTGATTGACCTTCACGCTGTCGGGCAGGCTGATGCAAGTGCCATGATGGATACCTTGGTGATGGGCGATGCGGGGGCAGCTGGAGGCGCTCATGTTGCTACTGCGAAGCGCGCAGCGGCACCCATTCTGACCCCTGTAGAGCGGCAGATGGACGAGGCTATTTTCACGGTGAGGGGCCATGGTGTCGCGACTGAAAGAAACACTTCAAAAGCGATTCGCGCTAAATAGTTCCCTCGCTTTTTTGTCTTGACCATGTCTGTGTGCAGCGTCAACTCAAAAGGCGCCTGCTTCTTTCAAGAACCCGGGGGCAGTAGGATCCTGTTGAATTGTTCCTTCATCTCCCGACTTGCCCTCGTGTTCCCTCGTTCGAGACGCTACAAATACTACCGACAGCAACCAAACGTTACCTTCCTTCGCCTTGGCTTTTCTTTGCTTTGCTTCCTCAAATACCCCCCGCATCACAGGCGTTCCAGACAGGGGACATGTCGAGCCTCCGCGACATCCTCACAACCTCCTCCTACCCGTCCCCCGCCGGCGTCAACTACCGCCGTCGACTGGGCGACGCCTCCACCGCCCTCATGGCCGCCGCCTTTCACGGCGACCTGGGCACTGTCCGGTACCTGCTGTCTATCGGCGCCAAGGCGACCCTTGTCGACGCCCACGGCAGGAGCGCCGCTCTCTTCGCCGGCATGCGCGGCCACCGCGAGTGCTTCGCAGAGCTCCAGCGCGTTGCCGATCAGGAAGAGGAAGAGGCGAGGGTTCGTTCCTCGAAGCGCCGCAGCTCGGGAGGGGGAAGTGGTGGTGGAGGCGGCGGTGGTGGCGACTTCGTGTACGATCTCTACTTCTACGAACCTCCCGCACAGGCCTCGACGGTGGGACCGCCGGCAGTGGGAGCCCCAGCGCCTGGGGCGGGGGAGGGGGCGGGGACGCCGTCTGGTGCAGTGCCTACCTCTTCCGGAGAGCTTGGCGAAAAGGTACGCCTTTTGAGATTCGGGTCGCTATGCGTGTGTTTGGCTTGCGCTCCCTCTTTTGCTGTGCGTTCCACTGATGGTTAAGGTACGAGGCCCGCTTGTCAGTTTCGAAGGAAATAGGCAACGGGAGGAAGGTGTCACTGGGTACATTCACACAGCAAGACAGGTAGGGAGCAGGTCGGCTGCTCCTTACTTGGTTGCCATCCACAGCAGTCGTTGCTTAGTCTCCCGTTGTATCTCTCTTTTTCAGATCCCTACCGTTCTCGGGCAAAGAAAGCGACCAGACGAAAGACAGCTATGCCTTGAAGCTAGCCTTCAAGGTCAAAACTGACGGCAGTACGCATGCATATATTAGAAATCAGGGCATAAGTATTGCTCATACACTAGGTTTCCCTTTTTATTTTGAAAGGGAATACATACAACACCACCAAAGTTTTCAGCTCCGCATAAGTAGCGAGCACTCTCCTCACGCACTTATTTCCATCAATGCGCCGTCTTACCACCGGATCTGGCTGTGTTCGTGTGTTGTAATCAATGCACGGCAGCAGACGACGATCGACGCGGCAGACGGCGGCGCGCCTCCAGTCGTGCGTCTTTCTGGGATCGGCCCCGTAGACGAGAACGCGGTCGGGACGATGGCGGCGGGCGTTGAGCTGGAGTTCGAGCACGACTCCGACTGGAGCGGTCTCGGCGAGGAGGGCGACGATGGGGAAGACCCCGACTCGAACTCGGAGGGGTACTACGGCAACGATTACCCCGAGGTAATGAAGGCATATCGTGGGATGACGCGTGTGTGTGCACAAGCTGGTGGGATCGTGCCTGTTTGCCCTGTACGTTTGGCATAGTGATCGATCTTTCGAGTAATCAGCGTCTTGGGAATGAAGATGCATGGGAAGCCCCATGAAATGATCTGTCTTTGAGTTCACCGTCTCCGTGTCGCTTTGGATATCTGGTGGGAAGCACTACAATGACCTGGATCCATGTGGCTGGCCGCTGACTGCGGCGAAACACCGAACCACCCCACCTCTGTCCAATCAGTCGATTGAAAGCCCGTGGCCCTTGTTTCTCTGCTTTCCGACGCCGCTCGCGATAATATACTTCCTCTGTCACGTAAGTAAAGTCCGTTATGATTACACGGCCATTTAGCCGTGTCCGATGTCTTAGGCGATACTTTTTTTGAAATCTTGAGCGTTTTTCGGGTTGAAACCCATATTTCTTTTTTTTTCTTGCGCACTACCCTGCATGCACTAGCCGCTTACAAAAAAGTAGTCAGGCCAAAAAAGGCCGTATTTTGCCCCTTTCCATGAGGGTGGGGGTGGGGGCACGAAACGAAACATACCAAAAAAAGACAAGAATTATCCCGAACCCTAAACCCAAGGTTACCTCTACTGAACGATCCATTTCGCGTCCTCCCATACAAAAACCAACATCGTAGTGAACCCACACTAAAATCAATACATTTTCGAGACCCACACTAAAACCAAGACACTTTGGGGCGCCACACTAAAATCAAGTTACTTGCGGGGCAAAGCCGACAGGCGTAGGGTCCTATAACCCTACCCCCCCTTGTACTCAACGACCCATGTCGCGTCCGCCCAATGTTTTCTGGGGTAATCACTACCAACGCCGTACCGCTCGGCGAGGGGGCCTAGAAAGCCCTTGGGTACCCTTTCTTTGCCCGGCGGAATCGCCAACGCTATCTCCACCGCCATGGCGTACCGACGACCCAACGATACTTCCGCACCCCGCTTACGACGTGGGGGTGTCTGGGCGTCGTCCCCCATGATAGCTACGTCGTTGTGGTGGTAGTAGGTGCTCACACAGCACAAAGCTGCAAATATTCTTCAAAATGTTCTCAAAATGTTTTCAAAATATTCCCAAAATATTCGCAAAATAGTCCCGTATTTGACACACTAATTCTCAGTAATTGTGACTCGGATTTTTTTTTTTTAAGTTATGTGCGTAACAAGCGCTTTCCAGCAAACCTAACTAGAGCTTCAGCAACACCTTGGCTGGTGAGGTATGTAAATTCCCCCATAACGGACTTTACTTATGTGACAGAGGAAGTGTATATTTTTGTCTGCACTTCAAATCAGCGCTCACAGCACTAGTGCTGTTTACTCCAACCCGTCGTCACACAGAAAGACCCCTCTCTACCCTCCCCTCCTGCTTTACTTTACCTTCGATTTTAATGCGAGAAGAGTTCAGCGCTCTCTTCCCTCTGTGTACACACGAACTAACGCTTTCCACTAGGCCAGGAGCGGAAGCGAGAGAAAACTCACTTCGCAAGAAAAGCTCGCTTACGCCGGAATTCGAACCCCTGACCTGACCTCTAGAAGGTTTCGAGGATACCAACTCGACGACCGGGGTAATCATATGATTGATCTTTCTCGGCCCGTTCTTCTCGCTTTTCGTGTGGAAACTCACGCTGCCACCAGGATGAGGGAGACGAAGAAGGTGCGGGTATCTCGCCCTACGTCTACGCCGGCGGGTCGGGGTCCTCTTGCGCGTCAGAGAACGGAAGCAGTAGCAGCGATGGCAATGCTGGCTTTGACAGCGATAGCGACAACGAGCCGCACTATCGAAGGGTTGTGGATGTGCATGAGGAGTTTTCTAGAAACTTTGGTAGTGGTGGTGGTGGTGGTGGCGACGGTGGCGGCGGTGGGCTCGCTGATGTCGAAGACAACGACGATTTCGACGACTTGTCCGGTTTATCCGCAAGGCGGAGTGGGAGTGGCGTGGTGGGTGTGGATGGCTTCGTAAAGCGGATGCCCCTGGCATCGGGACGAGGCGATGGTAGAGATGGCGCAACAGGAACATCAGCGGAAAGCGAGTTCCACGCAGGATTGGGTGAAGCGGGCGTGTTTGCATGGGGTCCGAAGCGATGAGATACGATGTGACCGAACAAGTTCAGGAACAGGCAAAGGGTGACATTTGCTTTTGTGCCTCTAGCAGGAGCGAAACTTGACGGAGCAATTTCGTTTGTTTTCCTTGTGACGGCCAGTTTTCGTGGGCGGCCAAGTGTATGTGGTGGTATGTTTGGTGTAGACGAAAGAAGTGTCGACTGCAATGTTGAGAAAAGAAATTGACCCGCATGTGGCTTGTCGTCGAGCCTGAACACAGGGCGAACGCAAGGTGCTGCCATAGGAGCGTGCTGTGTTATTGATGGAGAAAGCGCTGCGTGTGTCCATGTGCGCATATTTTCGCCGCCAATTGTAATTGCTCACGCCGCTACATTCGTCTCACTGCGACTTGTGTACGGCAAGAGGCTCTCCGTCGTTGCATCCATCTGCTAAATAATCTACCTTTTCTCTTCATAACACATTTGTTTCTCACCCATTTACGGTTCGGGCTTATCCCTCTGTCCGAGAATATANGGAATGCGCTCTCAATCCAAGCGCCTTGAGGTTGTTGTGCAGTGTGGATTTGGGAATCCCGAGCGCCGCGGCCAGGCGGCGCTGTGTCGTGCGTTCGTTCAGCGGAATCTCAAGGAGGCGGGCACGTAGGTTCTCAATATCGATGCCCTTGCAGCCGGAATGGCCCTTGCGGTCGTTCCCAATGTACAAACTAGGATCTCCAGATTCCTCCCGCTTCTCGTGCTTCTGCCAAATCCTCTTTATGGTCTCCCAATGGCACCCGTACTTCTCCGCGGCTCTGTGGTACGAACCATGCTGCCGAACCCCGTCTTCGCTGTCGGCGAGAAGGTAGCGTACCACCTCTTCTCTCTCCGAAACGTTGAAATTCTTGCGTTTGAGCCCCTGGGAGGCACTCCCAGCAGCAGACATGTCCCGCCAGCAGACGGGAAGGCGTTTGACCGGGGCTCCAAAGTTGGGGTGGTGAAATCGGGCGTGTTGTGCTGGGGTGCAACACACTTTGTTGAGGTGGTGTGAAAAGAGCAGCGGTTCTGCGCGCTGCGCGCCAGTGCGGCGGAACCAGAAAAAAAAACCGTTCGGAAAAAGAGTTCGGCAGACACGAGTTCTATTGCTTTTTGTCCAAACCTTGCTTATATTCTCGGACAGAGGGAGTATGTGGGTTTCATGCTCGTTTCCACGCTGGTTATACATTAGCGTTCCATGGAACAGGCTAGCCAACTGCATGTGGTAAATCTGATATATATTTAGCCAACCAACTTTTGCGCGAACAAAGAAAAGACATTGATCACGTCGTCTCGCTGGACATGTGCAAACTTGGCATCAGGCACCCATCCATGCCTTGAGGTTTGAAAGCAACAGAAGTTCATCACTACCCTCTTGCGCGTCGACATTTCAAGTCCATGTTTGACATTTTCGGCCATGGCGCAACCGATGGAAGAAGTAATCGGGTGGTGTACCTCAACTCGTCAGCACCTACACTTGGGGAAAATCATTACAAATTCGTGTGCACAACAATGCACAGCCAGTTTACGCCCCTTCCGCCAGTCCCACCACCTGCTCCAACGTACGTTATCCGATTGGCTTGAGCTGCATAAAAGTCACGCCTACATTATCTTACTACTGTCCTATGCNCGCTTTGCTTCAACTCATGTCTTATGTAGAAAAAAAAAAAATTGGGATCGATCCAGCCAGGGGCCACAAATGTCGCATCCCGGCCCATGCTCGCAATGCTTAGCAACAGACCCGCCACAGGGATGAAAATGCCCCGCATCACGGGTGTGGGAGCGGGTGTTGCTGTATCTCGTGGGTGCGTGACCCGATCGGGACGCTGAAGTGCTCAAACGAAAGCTAACGGAACGCTTGCAAATTTGAAAAAGAAATCAGGGGTCCCCGCGGATTGTGCGCGGAGATATGTGCATTTGAAAAAATGTGTCTCTTGATGGGGGGTGTCTATTGGTACATTTATTTACTCTAGACTTTTTTCTTTGTTTTTTGTGTGTTGTTTTTTGAGTGGTTGTTGTTGTTGTTGTTGTTGTTGTTTCTCACATTAGCTCTAAAAAAAAAAAAGATTGGGAGCCCGTGGTCTCAAAACCCGGCATACACGACCCCACGAAGAAACAGAAAAAAATAGGGTACAAAAACCACTCGGAAGAGAAACAAAATGATAGAAAGAAAGACCAGCTACCGCACCAAACGAGAAAGAGCGTCGAGGAGACCGATCAAAATAAAATAAAAGGAGAACGGGGAACGCTTCCCACACCCGCCTAGTGGTGTCTCACACGGGCAAACGGGGATCACCGCGGAACCCCCTCCCCCCCGCCCGCCCTCCATAAAAACAAAATCTCCTCTCACGACCCTTGGCGACCTTACGAAACCAGATTAAACACCGACTGCTGTGTTCAAAGTTGAAAGTACAAGAGTACCTCCAAGCCACGATGAAGACCATGGTGCCAGTATCGTTGGGCGCAACCTTATTAGGGCTTCACTTGACTGGCAACCGCCAGGTGGACGGTTTCGTCGTAGTCCCAGTAGGTGAGCGCGAGAGACATGTTTATGCCCTGATTCTACAGCGGGACTGTCACCTTGATCTGTGTGCGACTGCGTTGTCGTAGGTTCCCTCCGTGCTGTTGATTGAGCGACATTGAGACTACAGCTGATCGAGACATGTGCACTGCGCACAATACGATGGCGAGGGAGGTGGGTTTCGATTTGAAGGTTCGATGCACGGCTCACGCGACTTGAAATATTGCTGCGCTGTGTGTTTGTCGAAGTGGCTGACGCACATGACCATCACACGTTTCACATGAGTTCGGAGGTTTGACGCGCACCACCAACTGCAATCGCACCCACCACGCGGCGGCAACAACGGCCATTGTTGCGCAGGGTCATCCCGACCCCCGCAGCAGCAGAGAGAATGCTGTACCAGAAACGGCGGTCGCCGCAGTGGCAGCAGTGGCAGCGGCCGAGGAGCCTTGCTGCAGCCAACACAACGCTCGTCCTGCTCGGCTCGAAGCAACACGTGTCGCCCGTTGAACGCTGGATTCGGGCAGCAAGATGACTCGGCAGAAGCAGCAGCCAAGTCTTCGAAGAAGAAAGGGAAAGGAAAGGTGCGTGAGAAGTGCAACGGTTGGTTTGCTGATTGCATGGTTCTCTTCACCAAGGAATATGTCTGGTACCCCGTTGGGCGGTATAGAGTTAGCGTGCGGCCGTATTTGGTCTGGTACCCTTACGGGGGTATGGGAAGTAGCGTGCTGCCTCAGAAGAGGGTGTCTGTGTGAGGTAGTACTCGGGTATCAGACGGTATGGAGCAGAGATCGGAACAGTTTTTCATGTGAAGACAAGAGCAGCAAGGAGACACGGCCGTCAGCTTGAGAAGTATTTGGCCGTTAAGTGTTACCACCGTCAACGACCCATGGAGGTTGGTTGCGGAACGTGGATCACCGGCGGTACTGCTACTGTACAGGTCGTGGCGGTGTCAATAGAAGAAGTCGTTTGGTTCAATTGCGCTTTGTTTGCCTCTTGACACCCTTCATCTGTTCGCGTGTGTGAGTACAGCAGGCAAAAATGCATCATACACCAATGACAGTCATTTGTTGTTTGTGCCGATGAGTGTGCCGGTACATCACGCTTCCTGAATGCCTATTGTCTGCTCCATATTCCCTCCACATTCCCTCCACGGGGGTACAAACGTCATCTGTGCCACACCATCACATGTGCCGCTGGGCTTCGGATTCAAATCGTCGAGTAGAAAGCGGCGAAAAAGGGAGGCGGGGCTGCCGGGGGTGGGGGAGTTCCAGAGGCGGAAGGCGCCAAGGGCACGGGGCAACGGCAGCTGTTCATGCAGTTCACCTGTAATCTGTGCGAAGGGGTGAGTCAGTACATGATCAACAAGAACGCTTACGAGGAGGGCATCGTGATCTGCACGTGCCAGTCCTGTGGGGCGAGGCACCTCATCGCGGACAACTTGAAGAAGGTGAGATGCTGTGTCCCTTAAAAAAGGTCTTTGATCAGCCTTTCCCCCCCACCCTTCGTACGTACCGGTTCACTACACACTCTCGTGCGCGGGTACACTAAGCTCGGTGATGGGCGGTGGCTAATAAACACAATGTCCTGATCTACGCAACACTTGAGGCACCAGGGTTCGCTAGATACGACATCCGGTGGTGGTTTCATTTTCATTTCCGATTTATAGCGGGGCTCTTTGTCCACGTGCCCACACGTCGGGAAAAAAGCCCTCACTAACGTGACCTTTGGTCAAAATCTGCAACATTCCGTTCCAACACTATTTTGTCCTCGCTACACTGACTGCCCCTCCCGCGTTCTCCTTTTGCACGTTTGTGTTTTTCTGCTCGCATAAGCTGGACTTTCCCGCTTTCGGGAACAATATCGAGGAGTACATGCAGTCCACCGGGACGCCGGGCGAGGTGACCAAGGGCAGAGCGCCCGACCTCACTCCCGAGATCATCGAGAAGTTCGACGTGGCCATGGGCAAAGATGGGGTTCTCACTCTCTCGCCGAAGGTCGGCGCTGTCGGCGAAAAAGGCCAAGAGCCTCCCTCGTCGTGAACGTGCTCGACGGCAGTTTCGTGTTTACGCTGTCTGTCGTTGGCGCGTCATGTAGATCCGTACGCCAGCGCCGAGGAAGGTTGACGAAAAATGTCTTGTTATGTTGCTGACAGGAGCGGTGCTGTGCCTTGTGCGCTGGTAGCTCCGTATCGCTCGGTGCGGAGTATCAAAAGTCAGCGAGCTGGTCGCGGCAGCGTGTTCTGGATGGATGTTATTTGACACAGAGCGAGGTAGTGTCATTTGTTTATCTGGGGACAATTGTAGAATGCGAAGGTTCTTCAGCGCCAGCACGCAACCCTCGACTGTTCTGCTCAGCTGCCTACGTTCTTCATGCAGCTTCCCGTCACTTTTCTACAAAACATACTCTAGTTTCACTCCTGTATGCTGCAGGCTGCATGGGCTCGTGCAATTTCCATCTATCGCCCGGAACGGACTCGCCTGAACGCTGTTTACAAGTGGAGAACGAAATTAATCGATGCGACGCTTCGCTCTCGCTCTCGCTCCTTCCATACGCCTTGGTTTACGACCCACTCGATTTTTTCCGGCTAGGGCGAATGAGCTGCTTGAGAGCGTCGATGGGTTTGATTTCCCACGACTCGACGTGGCGCTCGATCCGACCAGAGTCTTGGTTGAAGAAGAACTCCGTTCCCTGCCAGAGAGTGAACGGGACGGCAGAGCAAGCGCGACCAGGCAGAACAGAACCAAACCGAAACAGCGCAGGTCGAGCCACATCATAGCTTTAGAAAACACTCCCGTCACCACATTTTTCGGCATTTCGGCACACACTACTGCATCTACTTGTCGATTGGCTCACCCATCCAATAAAAAAATGAAAACGGTCGGATCGAGCGACCAAGTTGCCAACCAGGGTCCTTTGGTCGAGACCCACATTGCTGTTCCACCTTTGCCAATCAACCAGGCAGCTTGTTCTCGCGCCGAGAGGTAACATCACGCAACGTTGGGGGCTATGAAACAGTACTTCGCCTTCGGCCTGCCGTCACGGAGCAACGTGCTTGTAAAACTAAAAAAAATTGCTCACGGATGAACCTCGACCCATGGCTGAAACCATGAAGAAGCGGCGTGGGGAAGTTGCAGTCCTCAAGCCCGTCCTGCAGCCGTGCATGTTATATGCCATGACAAGGGAGAAAAAAACGATGACCTTTCACTTACCCCCGCAGCCGCGAGGGTGGGTTTCCATGGCAGACCAAGCACGCAGCGAAACCGCCACTTTGTCTTGATGGACGCCTCCGCCTCTTCCCAGCTGGTCACGTCGAGGCTGACGTCTTGCATCAACGAGCCGAGGTTATCCAGGTTGTTCTGCCATCCAAGGCGAGCGCGTGGGCGGGTGAAAGGAGCAGGAAGGGGGGGGGGGGGGGGGGGCC